GCACAGACACACACTGTATCACTGCTCTGCAAGAGCCCTGCCCACATGGAGTCAGCCCACTGCCCCCAGACTGCCAGCCCAACATTCCCCCCCCCCCCCCCACCCCCGCCGCTGCCAGCCCAGCATCCCCCCCCACCCCAGACGCTGCCCGCCCAGCATTCCCCCCCACCCCCCGCTCCAGACGCTGCCTGCCCAGCATTCCCCCCCACCCCCCGCCCCAGACGCTGCCAGCCCAGCGTCCCGCCCCAGACGCTGCCAGCCCAGCATTCCCCCCACCCAGGGAACAGCGGCTCAAGCCTAGTGTGGAGGGGGCAGCGCGGCACGTACCGCGTTCATCCAGGAGTATGTTCTCCATCTGAAAAGGAGAGAGAGGTCAGAGCTCACATTACCTCCTTGTCCAGGGTGTACTCGGCCAAGCGAGGCCACCTGTCCAGGACACACCGGCTGGCCTCGCGGGCCTGGAAAGGGCCATATTCCCATCAGGCTGGTCGCGAGGCCCCCCTGCGGCTCACACCCCACGTCTGCCTGTGTGAGGAGACCAGTCCCTCCTCTAAGAGCCGCCCAGGGTCCACAATGGGCTGGATCAGGCCTTGGGCAGCACTCGCCCAAACTAGTGGGGGAAAGAGCAGCTGCCCACTCCCTCCACTGAGCAGAGCAGCTGAATCCAGCTCCCACCCCACCGGATGTGAGTTTGGGGCCTGGGGGGAGGTGAGGTTCCCCCATCACAGAGGAACTTCCCCCCCCCCCCCCCTCCCCTGCTCCTGACAGCCAGCACTGACTCGCAGCCGGCAGCAGGGCAGCCCGTCACCCTGAGCGTGTCACTGACTCGGTCCAGCGAGGGGCAGGGCAGGTCAGACCCCCTCTCCCAGGGCACTCGTACCTTCACGTCTCGGTGCACAATGCCCAGGTCATGGAGATAACCTGGAAGGGGAGAAAGGAGGAGGGTCACCAGAGCCCCACCAGGCATGCTGAGGAGGACCATAGGCCTGCCCCAGTACAGGGGAAGCTGTCTGACCATCAGCTCCTGGCAGGCAGGGAGGGGCCCACACCTGGCCCCTCTGCCCCACACAGAGCCTCCTCCCCAGAGCCCATGGTGCTGGCAGCATCAGCCACACTGCTCCAGGGAACCCACAGGGACTCTGCCCCAGCACAGGTCCCTATGCAAGTGCCCCTCAGCAGGTCACTTACCCAGCGCCAGAACCAGCTCGGCTGCGAACAGGCGAATGGTGGCTTCCGCGAAGCGCCCCGAAGAGGCCCAAAGCGTGTGCAGGTCTCCGGTGCTGCAGTATGTGCACACTGCAGAGGGAGCAGGACAGACAGACAGACATTACAGCTTAGGGGGGCCCAGCACACACAGTCAGTCCAGCTGGGGAGAGCCAGGACTCCAGGCAAATGCAATTCCCTTCCCACAGATCACATCTCAGAGACCCTCTACAGACCCTGCCTCCAAGGGGCCTGCTGGAGAGACAGGGCATAGAGGGGGCATGGCCCCCGGGCTGATATTTGCAGTGGGGCTGCTTCCCTTTGCTGCTGATCCCTTCATTGCCCGAGGGCCAAGAGAACCGTGCCAGCCCCGAGTAGGGTAGCCAGGTAGGGTGACCAGACAGCAAATGTGAAAAATCGGGACAGGGGTGGGGGGGTAATAGGAGCCTATATGAGAAAAAGACCAAAAAATCAGGACTGTCATTATAAAATCAGGACATCTGGTCACCCTAGAGCCAGGCCTGCAAGAGGGAAATGCCTTTATCCTGCTCACATGACCCAGCCATGGGTGGCCATAGGGGAGGGGAGCGAGCCGCAAAGCAGCTCCTAATCCACAGGGGATTGCGGGCGGCAGAGCCAGGCTGCACTCCAGCTGCTGGAGCTCTGAGGGCGGGCGGACAAGAGGTTTAATGTCGGTCAGATGCACAGAGCCGTGTACGCGCACACGGAGAGGGAAACGCACACGGGGGGCGGGGCCCCTACTCTAGGGAGATGCCGGGGGGCAGATGGTGACTCACTAATGAAGAGATGCCGCTGTCCCTGCCAGCTGTCCCCTAAGCAGTGAACAAATGGGTGGCTGACCTGCCTCTGGGGACAAAGAAAAACAGGACTCATGAGTATCTGAGCTGGGGATGGGGACACCCACGGGGAGAAATCGGGGAGGAGGAGAAGGGGAGGAGCAGGAAGGCTCAGGACGTCCCTCTTGCCAACGCGCCCTCACCCTCCCTGGGATACAGCCCTCACCCGGGGCAGGCCCCGACCTCATGGCATCTCTGGAGAGGGCTCAGGAGAGCCAGCCGCACCCAGATCCCCAATGGGGCTGGCGGCAACTTGGCTAAGAGGCACATCTGCAAACCAGATGCTGAAGCTGTGGTGCCAAGGAAGGGACGGTGCTCCTAGGGCACTGAGCCGACGTGGCCAGTACGGCCTACCTGGGACTCTGAGCCAGGAAGGTTGGTGACAGAACGAGCTCAGGGCAGCTGGCCAGGCCCCTGGGGCGGGGCAGCTTCCAGAGTCTAGTCTCTTCCCCAAGCCACCCCTCCCTTAGGGGATCCCCCTACCCCTCCGATGCGCCCCATGCCCCCAAGGAGAGCGGCAGCTACCTGGATGCTGACCTCCTCCTTGCACTGCTTCAGGGTGTCACGCCGCAGCACCTCCACTTTGGGGACCACCTACAAGAGAAGAAGCCATGGCCCCAGTGAGTCAGCACAGGAGAACGAGGCAGCGCCCTGGGCAAGGGGGGCAGTCAGACGGGCACCCACCTTCACAGCAAAGACCTTCTCCCGCCCGCAGTCCAGCACTTTCAGGACCGTCCCAAACGAGCCTTTAGCAACAAAGCCCAGAATCTAAAAGGAAGGAAGCAGTAAGTGTGGCCAGGGTGTGACTGCGCCCACCAGCAGGGCCAGGCCCCGCGAGAGCAGCACGGGACTCAGCAGGGACTAACCAGGGCAGTGTCTCCTGGCCAGGCTGGACAGAGCGTGGGGGAAACCATCCCAGCCTCCCGCCCCCCTGCTCCCAAAGGATGGGGGGTGAACCCCAGCCCAGGGGCGTTCCTCTCTCCAGCGTTCTGGTTGTCAGAGAGGAAAGGCGAGTAGTCGCAGGGCCGGAGGGAGAGCTGGAGGCCAGGGAACAGATGCTGCCTGAGTCCCAGCTGGAGAGCGGAGCTTGGCGACACTCCTGCACGCGGGATCGTGCGCCAGCACTGCTGGGCTCCTTGACTCCGGCTCGGCCCTGGGGCTCCCAAAGGACCATGCAGGCCACAAGAGGCCAATCCACACCCATGGGCCCTGGTCATGGCTTGTTCCCCGCCCCAGCCACCCCCCAACGGCTCGGCGCTGGGCATCGCACCTTGAGCTGAGGCTGGCCCAGTGGGGGCCGGATGGGGAACTCCGGGAGGAAGAGCGAGACGAACTGCGGGACTGGCCACCCCGTCACCACCTTCTCGCCCAGCCGGGGCAGCTTCTCGCCCGGGCCTCGCCGCTGCTGGAGGCACCGCCTCGTGGCCAAGTTGCGCTCCAGCCCGGACACCGTCACCCCAATGCCAGCCAAGACCCTCTTCCAGCTCCGGACCCAGGAGACCTCGGCTGCGAAGCCACCGCCCTGCAGAGCCAGCAGAAGCATGAGCCCCTGGCCCGGCTGCAGCCAGCTCTGGGGCAGGGCACAGAAACCAGCTGTGTAGAACGGGCCCATGGACCCACATCACAGCGAGACCCGGGCGGGGGGCGCCCCCCTGCGGCCCCGCCCCCGGTACGCACCTTGAGGGGGCCCGGCGGGGGCTCGGGCTCGCTGCTGGCAGCTCCCATCGCGTCTCCTTCCTACGGCAGCCCCGGCCCCATCGCGTCCCGGCAGCAGAAGCCGCTGCGCCCGGCCCGGCTAATCCCCCTCTGGGCCGGTTACATAAACAGGCGGGATCCCGTCCCCGCTTCATTGCCATGCGAGCCCCGCCCCCTCAT